CATGCCTTTGACTTCACCACTGCATCTCAGCGCATGAGTGGTGCGGTGCGGCACTGAGCCCGGCGCGCCCTGGGATGCCGAAGAGCTGCAAGGGGTCACGCTCATGTCACTCGAAAATAGAGTTCATGCAGCGTCACAACCCTACCAGACGAACATAGATGAACAAAGCCTCACACGAGCATTTTCGGGAAGCGATGCTGGTACCGACAAGATCCGACAAGAACCACCGACCCATGCAGGGACGAGGGAGGTGGTGCAGCGAACAGCATGCCAGCGGCCACAATTTCACCCTTCCCTCCCACCCTCAATGATGACCCCTTTGTTTTCCTCTCCTTTGCGGGCATGCTTGGTTTCGACGTGGGCAGCTGGAAGGGGGCCCATCTTCCCTGCATGCCATTTTTCGCGCCGAAATCGTCATCTCATCTCCCCTCATCGTCGGCATCAACATCATCATCATCATCATCATCATCAAATCATCAACGAGCAACAGCAACAACGACAACAGAAACTTTCACCGGTAAAACATAGATCCCTGCTACGCGCTCCTTTTTTCCAACTGCTTCCGCTTCGGTGAATATGCGATTCTGACTCTGATCGAGTTCATCGAAAGTTTCGATCGTATTTCATACAGAAACTTTTTTTCGGTGTTAAGAGGAACGACCGTTTCTCGGTCGGATCTCGCAGAATGAAAGCAGAGGAAAGTGAAACGCCTAAGCAGGGCTAGGGAAGGTGGGAGAAGAAAAGTTTCAGTTCGAAGCTTATACCAAAATGACCACGGAATGCAACAAGTTCGACGTGATCGACTCAAGTACATCCACGGAGTCGATCGGTGATTGATAAAGCAACGGCTTGTCATTTCGCACACAAGCGTGCTACAGGACAACAGAAGTTTTCACAGGTAAAGCATAGATCCCTGCTAGGCGCTCCTTTTCTGCTTCCGCTTCGGTGGCATGTTTTGCGATTCTGACTCTCTTCGGAGTCTGAACAGGTTCATCGACAGTTTCGATCGTTCTTCATACAGAAATATTCTTTTGATGTCAAGGGGACCGACCGTTTCCCATCGGTGGCAGGCGAACGCCACCAGACCTTGCCGGTCTCTCTCTCGCAGGGCTCGATGTAACTTATCGATGCCCGGCACATCCGCAGCAAACATTATGTCTCCTAAAATCTTCGTTGGTCGAAAGAGGCAATTCGATTCTCATCCACTGTCGAGCCTCGGCTATATCTTCGAAGCGACTGAGTGCATCGGAAAAATTTGCCTTGGCAGGTACTCGTTCGAGTCGGTGCGCATGTCCGCGGCGATTGTGCCATGTCCAATGCGACAAGACAGTTGCGTTGATGATGTTTGCCCAACCTTTTGATGAGTGCATGTCTGGATGCCTCATTATGGCAACACTGAATGTAGGAACCGTCCAACCAGGGGTCGAAGATCATCAGGGCTAAGATCGCGGCCCAGGCCTTTATATAACAGGTGGACAAACGCTTGGTCGGAGGAAAATTGTCGCACTAACTGCGATGGCAAACGACCCGCGAAGTAGGCCGCCGACAATTTGGTTCTCAACCCATGTCCACAACGAGTCAAGACGATGTGCCGACAGATTGACAAACACCTCAATGCCAATGACGTGTCACCCGATGTCGCCAGGAAGATGGCCAGCAAGTGCCCCTTCCTGACAGGCAGATTGTTCGGCAAGTTGGGCCGTGCTCCTTTGAAGGACTTGTACGCCAGAGCCAACTCCAACACCAACACACACACACACACACCAAAGACAAACCTACACGATCCTCATTACTCGCACTACGAGACATCATCCAACACTGTCGACCGAGGACGATGCCATCCGCCGACTAAGACCCACAGACGCATACTTCAAACTGGGACAAAAGATCTACTGGTACCGCCCAGGCGATGAAGATCTGCCTAATTGGAATTCCACCGAGACTAGCAACATCGAGAACGGATCGGCCGCCGTTTGCCGATTGCTTCCACCAAGGTGATGTGCGTCGAGCAGTCGGAGGATACAAGGACTCCTTGAATCCGTTGTCGAGTCTCGGGAGGTTGTCTTGAGATCTCGAGAAAACCGTTGCAATCCTCAAAGACGCTACAGCTGCCATCGGCTGAGCGTTGGTCTTCCATGGAACCGTAGTCGTCGACATAGTGCAAGGCAGGGGATAGTACAGTAGTCGTGTTACATGCGACGAGTACATCGCCGAATCGATTGTAAGAGCAGACACTCGCTGCTGAGCCGACCCCAAAGCGTGGGTCCTTCCGGAGTCAGCAGGGGTACATATGCTTGTCGAGGGTCGTGTAGTGAAGTGGTAATTGCCGATAAGCTCCATCGTGGTCATGTCCCCAAACTTTGAATGGTCTGTCGGACTGTCGTGGTCGCAACTTTGAATCATTGAATGTTCTGTCGGACTGTCGTGGTCGCGTTCGAGGAATGCCAGTCCGAGAGATACAAAGTGGTCCGGTGTATGGTGGAACTGCTCAGTCTGTATGTCCTCTCACGGCCGCCGGCACAAGCAGAGCTGTGATGTCAGGCAAGCGCAGTACGTTACTACCACAGCAGCTGGAAACTCTGGAGCCATAGGATCGCTGACAAATCGCACAATAGTGAAAGTTGTTTCTAGTGGAGGGGGGCCATGGGGACCACCAAGAGAGTGGTGAGGCTATAAGTCGCCAGACAACTGTCTGTCCCGTCGTCAGACGCCCGGATTGTGTGCGAGACGTCGGCAATGCAATGCAATGCAATGCAATGCACTGCACTGCACTGCACTGCACTGCACTGCACTGCACTGCACTACAACTACTACTACTACTACTACGACGACGACTACTACTACTCCTGCTGCTACTACTACCGCTCCTACCACTACTACTATGCATACATACATACATACATACTAGGACTAGGACTAGGACTAGGACTAGGACTAGGACTAGGACTAGGACTAGGACTAGGACTAGGACTTGGACTTGGACTTGGACTTGGACTGGTAGACTAATAGGCTAGTAGACTAGTAGACTAGCAGACTAGTAGACTAGTAGACTAGTAGACTAGTAGACTAGTAGACTAGTAGACTAGTAGACTAGTACTAGTACCAGTACTACTGCTTATGTGTGAATACTACTACTACTACTACTACTACTACTACTACTACTAGTACCACCACTACTACTGCACTACTACCAACTATACTAACTGCTACTACTACTACTACTACTACTACCACTACTACTACTATTACTGCTACTACTACTACTACTACTACCACCACTACTGCTGCTACTATCTGCTACTGCTACTGCTACGGCCACTGCTACCACTACTCAAACGCAGGGACCGCATTAACGTGAACGGGCAGATCGCTGTGCCTTGCTTCGAAGGAAATGGCCTTGGCATTTGCGTTGACTTCTAACCGTCTCGCGACGGTCATTATTCATCATGGCTCACATCTCAAAGCCGGTCACTATGCGGCGACACTGCTGAAAATCGTGGGGCATGCATGACGGAACCTCCGTGTACTTGTGTCACTGACTGTTACTTACTGATCTCTGAACGAAGTCTTCACAACAACGATGTCATGCTTAGGCCTCAAGAGGCGGTGACATCCTCATAGATAGATGTGTGTTCGAGGCAGCACTGACTGCGTACCTTACGGCGCCGGGCGAAACCGTCTGCTCAGTTACATCTGTCACTAGGCGGTCGACTCGACGGCTGCTGTGCTGAAAGGCTGAAAGGCTACTACTAATGCTACTACTTCTTCGTCTTCTTAAACTTTCCTTTGTCCCATGTAACTTCTAGCACACTCTAGCACCAATCAAGTTAATTTCAAATGTGACTGCCGCGGTTTTCCGTCATGGCGCAATGTTGGTCTTCTTTGAGGGTGGTCAGTCAGCAAGCCGACCTGCTGTTCATGAACTTCGATCAGTGCACCAGCTCGAGCGGCCCAGGGTCGCAGGACATGCTTGGCGAAATGACCCCAGACTGGGGGCGCAACAAAAGAAAGAGGAGCTCTGCGGCAGAAGTTTCGAACGAGTTTTCAAGAGCTCCCAGTACGTGAAGAACAGGCTCGGAAGAGGCCAAGAATGGGCCCAGGCCTTTTTTTCGCGGATAGCGGATAGCAAGTTGACACTGCAGGCACGATGGTCTCCAATGAACAGAATGCAAGATGTCTGCCTGATCTCACCTAATGACCTGGTGTGCGATTCGACCCCGGCCTGCTGGGCACACAATTGTGGAATGGCCCACCTCAAAACGACCAAGCTTTGGATACTGATGGCATGTCTGACACGGTGCATAGTGACATAGTGTCGACTGAGATCAATGCTCATGCGTCCCGACTCACCTTATGGCATCCGATTGGGAATAGCGTTGCGAACAGTGCGCAAGCACATGCAGGCACCGTCTCGTTCAGTCTCAGAGCAAGACGGATGGATCGCCGCAGATCCTGCCAATCATAGGGAGGCGATTGTTTGAAGGATGGCTCACGCCGTCTGTGGCCTCCACTTCCAGGCTGCCAGAGCTGGAAGTCTTGCCTTCTTGGCAGGCCTTCAGCTACAGCACTGATCGAATCGAAAAGAACGAAGCAGATAAGTAGGTTCCAAAACCCAGTCGCTAAGCGGACAGATTCCGAGGAGCATCGCGTGTGGGACTACGAGTTGGTATTTCTACAAGGCAAACGCCCGCGGCAGCTGTATCGCACTTCGGAGGTATCTCTTTCCTTTGAAAAGTCTATGTACAAGAAGTTTTTCGCCGGTCGCTCTCACACAATACCTCTTTGACACACGACTGGAGCGGGCGAGGCTGGCTGACTAAAGAATTTGACGTTTCCTCACCAGCAAGAGCTGCAAAAGCTTCCGTGCCAAGTTGCCCGCATACTCGGTTGTGAACGGACTGGAGAAACTCCCGTTCCCATTGTCCCAGCCGGGTCGAGGCCAGGCGAAGGTCGAAAAGCATGACCGTGCATTGCCATGAGCACACGAAACTTAACGTGGTCTAAGAATCGGTGCACCCGTGTGATGCGAAGGCATCGACCTCCGGCCAGGCTGGTGGTAGTCGAAAGGCTGCTGAAAGATCCGGGAATATCCTGAGCACGTGAGAGCACAGCTGCCTGTAGAGCATCGTAGTTCGGAAGAGCCCAACTGTTCTCTGTGCACATGCAGGCTATGGCTGAAGCTGACGCAGCGGGAGATGCTGGTCCCACCTCGTACACATCATATAACGGAGCATACGCAGAGTGGCAGAGTGGCAGAGTGCACGTGAACTGTCGAGCATGCGCGCGAGATCATGTTTTCAGCTCCGGCAGCTACCAGAATGCCACCTGCGGAAAATCGAAATAAGATTGCCGCAAACTGGAACGAAAGATCAAACAAAAAGCCTTGACGGCCTTCAGTTTGGCATCGTCGTTGGCCTTCAATGTGACTTATGACTTATGACCCGCATGTGTCTCAGCACACGCCGTGCAATGACTCCGATCCATCTCCACTACACGGCACGAAAGCTGGACGAAGAGCCTGTTAATGCCAAGATGCATGTCTCCACTTTCTTGCTGCATTCGTGCCAAGTTTTCCTGCAGCCATCAAGTTCAAAGTAGGAACCCGAGAAAACCAACACGGAACTGTGGTGTCGAGATCTTGGCTTCCTCAACCTCCTTCTTCACCTCTCTTCCAGGCTTGGCCTCGCATGCCAGCACTGACACGTGCAAGCGTGCTTCCTTGTGGTAAGATCTGCTTGAGATTGCCATCAACCGGAAGCACCTCTCAACCATCTATATCTTACAATTTCTATATGATTCTGCAATATTCTGCAGCCGCAGACCCCGGCTGCGGGGCAAAGCGCCATTCAAACCCCTGCCACCCTCTCAGCGCCAAAGAACAACAGATGTTTTGGTGTGCCGACGGCACATGCACAGGCAATTCATGAGCCAATGGCCGCCATGTTGGACGTGGTTCTGAGAGTTTCCCCTGTTATTCTAGAAAACACAGGCCAGCATCATGAGTCATGAGCATCATTTGAGGCGAGCTGTTGGGGCTGGAGGGCGACATGCGCTCATGCGCAGGCCTTGGAAGCGAGAACGTGCTTGGGCAAAGCCGGGGTGTAGACTCGATGATGCTGATGCTGCTATCCCGCTTGGGCAAATGTGGCGCCAAGCAAGGCTCCAGCCCTCCACACAACAGCTCGACGTCGGCCGAAAATGCCCAGCGCTGCCAAACTGGCTGCAGAATGTGTGATGTTAGCCACGCCAGCTGCTGCAGCTGTAGTTGCTGGAGAAGACGGTTGATGGACTCGTCCTTCCCAAAACCTCAAAAAGTGCGCGGCGAGCCGGCTCGTTGTCGACAACCATGATCACGTACGTAGCCGTGCAAAACGTCACGCAAAGCCATTAGGGGCACACAGGTTCGGCCGTTTCGAATGAAAAGTTGAGGAGGAACCAGCGGGTTGCGCGGTCCGTGTCCAGTGCTGGTCGCCGGAAAATCGGTAACCAGAACGGCTGAATCAGAAACCAGCCATGATTCGGAAACAAGAACGGCTGAGTCGGAAACCACGACGGCTGATTCCGAAATCAGACCAACTGATTCGGAAACCACATCATGATTCGGAAACCAGAACGGCTGTGACGTCAACTTGGTTGGGCCATGGATACTCTGCTCTCAGAACGCAGTCAGCCATGGACGTCGTCATCATTGTTGGGCCGTGGATGCTCTCTCCTCAGAATGCATTCGGGCATGGACGTCATCATGAGTTATCCTGGTGGGCCCAGTAATGCTCTCTTGTCAGAACTCCGTAGACCATGGACGTCATCATGGTTTGCCCATGGATGCTTTGTGCTCAGCATAGAAAGTCATCATGCCCCCCACCCCCCACCCTCAAGAAGAAGCAAAACGTAGGCGCGGGTATCCCCCCTCGTGCTTTGGGCCGTGGATGCTCTGGGCTCCGGACGCATTAGACCATGGACGTCATCATGGCTGGCCCTTCTCAGAACGCATTAGACCATGGATGTTATCACGGTTGGGCCATGGATGCTCTCTTCACACCACCCCAGCATTGCTTCCAAGCTCCGGTGCCAGTTTCCAAGCTCTGGTTTCTCTCGCGCCCCCAAATTTCACATGCGCTGGTTTCTGATGCGCCGGTTTCTGCTGTGCGCTGGTTTCTCATGTGCAGTGTCTCATGCGCGGCGGTTTCTGATGCGCAATGTCTGATGCCAATACACGGCAGTTTCTCTTGCGCAGTTTCTGATATACGCCTCTGCTATCACTAGCAGTACTACTACTAGACTGGTACCACTAGTACTACTAGTGCCACTAGTACCCGAAGTCTATGCATGGTTGCAGATGGCGGGGGTGGCTGCCCCCCCAAACCCCCCGCTCTCTTTTCCAGCCGTGTGTGAGGTGGAGAATCGAAATCGCCCAAGGTCGGGGCATGTTTGATAAATGATGCAGCGGCAGAGGAGGCGTTTAAAATTTGTGATGCGCCGGCATCGCCTCAAGAGGGAAAGCAGAGAACCAAGCAGTATCGCCCAATGTGGGAGGCGTGGCGACGAGAAGCCCAAGTGAGGGGCGTTTTCAAGATAGAGGATGCACCGAAATCGCCAAATGATGCGGCGTGTTAAGATATGTGATGAACTGGAATCGCCAAATGAGGGGGATACATGATGAATCCGAATCGCCAAATGAGAGGGCGTGTTTACGATAAATGATGAACCGGAATGGCCAAATGAGGGGGCGCGTTTAAGAGATATGATGAACCGGAAGCGCCAAATGAGGGGGTGTGTTTGAGATATAGAACCTATGGGATGAACCGGAATCGCCAAATGAGAGGCGTGTTGAAGAATAGATGATGAACCGGAATTGCAAATGAGGGGGTGTGTTGAAGATATACGATAAATCCAAATCGCCAAATGTGAACCCACGCGCCAATGATTTACTCTGTTGGACTCGTTGTGGTAACAAGGTGCTGCATGACGAATGCCCGGAAACCGCCCTAGAGCCCGTGGGCGAGCCTCCCTTCATGTTCCGGAAGGACGACCCCCCCTTTCCATACTCCGGTAGAGCGAACGCCGCCCACCCCGCCAACGGCACTATCTGTAAGCTCGAGAATGCACGAGACACATCAAAGTCCCCCATGCCCTGTCCCATTGCCATGCTGGCCCCTCTTTGCCATAGAAACGGCACGGGCAAAATGGAACTGTCCATGTTGGACCTGGGGTCACGACCTTCACCACCCCCCCTCCTCACAGCAGGGACATGCAAGGACGTCATGAGACTCGGGTGGTTGGCTGGATGGGCGGGTGGGTCGAGCTGTTCCAAGTCCCACGAAGTGAAAAGCGTCTCTTTAAACAAGATCACCCGTGCTCTGGTGCGCGTGATTATTGTACAAAAAAGGTGGCTTTCCCAAGTAAGTTTTCAGGTGCACAGGAGAGGCAACAGCACATAAGCAATTTTATTCTCGGAAGTACTTTTGCTGAGATTTTCAATGCCGGAGAATCTGTTTCCCTCGCAACACAGGGCTTTGCAGTCTTGCATGCATTGATGCGGTTTTGGTGTTGTTACGGTTTGCGGCTATTTTGTGCATCTCTGGTTTTGGGACCACATTGTCATCTTGACATGATTTTCTGTTTTCATGCAAGCTAGGCTCTCTGGCAGCTTCGGGAGTGTATAAAAAAAAGTGTGTTGTTTCATTTCAAGGAAAAAACTTGCTTTGTTGAATTTCAACACTGTTAAACTTGTATGGCGCATGCAGCAACGTGTAGGCCACGAAGTTTTCAACGCGTAGGCCACGAAGTTTTCGGAGATGCTGTTGCTGAGATCATCACTATCGAAGGGACGGTTCTCTCGCAATAAAGAGCATTTGCAGTCTTGCATGCTTTGATGCTGGAGTGGTACCCTAGATGCTACGGTTGAGAGCATCACTGTCGGAGAGACGGTTTCCCTCGCAAAAAACACAGCATATTGCAGTCTTGCATGAATTGTTGCTGTAATGGTGGTTTCAGGATTTATTGTTGCATCAGGTTGCTTTGATCACATGTATTTCTGCTTTTGCGGAAACCCAAGAAACGGACAACAAGTAGTAGCATCAGTATTCAGTACTCGTTGCAGCAGTAAGACTGTCATCACGGATGGAAAAATGATTTAGAAAAATCTTGATGCACGGAGTGGACGTTGTCATGGTTCGGGCATGGATACTCCGGGAATGGATGGGGTTGGCGTGGAAGTTATCACGGATGGGGTCGGTGCTCTGGGGAGGGAAACCGAAGCACAGTAACCATCGTAAATATCGAGGGCTTCGGCAGGAACCCTGAAACAAGCATAGCCCGCGGGTCGGGACAGGTAGCGCAAGCTTAAACAAGCCGTCCGTAAGGTTTCAACTTCATGGCTCCTAATCAAGACGGCTGCAAAACCTTCCGAGAAATTCCATACTTATGCGTTAGCAGGGAGGTGTCAAATCGGGTCCAGTTATAAGGAAACCTCCACGAACAAATCGCAGTTGAAATGAAAGGAAATGGGATGAAACGGAATGCGGGATGAAGTGGAATGAAATAGAAGGAAATGGAATGAAATGGAAGGAATTCGAAGGAAATGGAATGCAAATGAGAACGAACATAAAAATAGAAAAAGTGCTGCACGAAGCACGAACGACAAATGAATGAACGGCCGCACCAACGTCTGAGCACTATCCCACACCCCGATCAAGAGAAGAGACAGCAAGCAGCTGGACAGCACTGGAGGAATCGGGCGGTTTGGAATAAAGACCGGACTGCAGAGCGGAAAGGGAGGCTTGGCCCTGACGAGATATGCCAGATGGGCTTCAAAACAAGATACGGGAGTCTGCTAGGTGCAGGTACTGTCGCTTGTACATGTCACTGCGTGTGATTGCCTGACTCCTTGCAGTTGTGCGAGTTATAATTGTCTTAATGGGCAGGTCTCCACAACTACAAAATGAAGACTCCTGCTTCGGCTTGCAAATTATACATGTGTGTATGTATGTATGTGTGTATATATATATATATATTTATTTATTTATTTATCTATTTATCTATTTCTCTATTTATTTACTTATCTATTTATATAGGCTATCGTACTACAACGCTTGTGCAAGTAGCAGAAACCAGTAGCTGTACGCACGGGTGCCGCCAGCTGCGCACGCAGCTCCCTCACCGAAACCAACACAATGGGAACCCGGGCTGCGTCACAGTGTGACAAGTGCCTCCGTGCAATTGAGACCGTCTGAAGAACCATAAGCGGGTGATGGCAAACCCCCAACCCTGGAACATGAGCTACAGTTATTACTACATTGGTGATAGCCTGATAGCCAACAAGCTGAATCTCCATTTTAATCGTACCACTGAATCGTAGTCGCATCAACGTAAACGAAACAGAATACCGGCCCCCAATGTCTGGTGCAGAGGGCGTTGTGAGCTAACCGTAATCACATGGATCGTCCTTATTGTTTTGTCATCCTTATCACCCATATCACCCCTATTATTCTGTCATCATCCTAGGCGCCGACGCACACAGAGATGAGAAAGACGCACCTTCAAGTCATACAGGACGCGGTCTCCCTTCGCAACATCCTCTGCAACAGCGAGCATGAGCCATCCGATCCCTGGAATCGAGCTACAGCCGCGTCTCCTCCTCAGACTTCTTCGTTGCGGCATTCACGTCTCCTGCAGCCTCTTGGAGGTCCTAGCAAGGAATTGCAGTGCCGAGATTAGCAGGAGGCCGCGCTAGATCACTCCCTCCGGGCCCTCATGAATCACGAGCTGTGGAGAGTCACAAGCCGACTCGGCTCACCGCTTGGTGTACAACAGTGTCACTGCTTCTCGCCGCAACGGTAGCATTCCAAAAAACTTTGCACCTCCTCGGTCATCTTCCACACGACTGCTGATTCTTTGACCTTAGGATTCGAGAAGTATTTTCTGGATGCTGAAGGCATAATCATGGCCGGCAATACAGAATTGCAACTTAGTCGCCACGGCTGCTGCTGTCTCGGCTGCAGTGATAGCCGAGGCAACAGGCCCATCGTCTGCAGCAAGCGCCTGGAAAACTGAGCATGCTGAATGGTGATTGCAGAAGTATGCAGAAGTGCGTGAGCTGCAGCCAGCAGACGTTGTACTTGTTGAACGGCTCCTCACTCAGGTCTGGCAGATCCTGCACCAGCTCGGAACGCAGGCAGCAAGCCCCTCAGAGATGTCAATTGAGACGGAAGATCACCAATAGTGGTGGGTCAAGGGCATACAAGGACACCTGGTACCGCTTCACACCCTCTGCGCCATCCTCGTCTTCCTGCTGGCATGGCGAGTACAAAGACATGCAGTTGTAATGTGCTTGACGTGCTTCCTCATCCTCATCGAGGCCGTCGCTGTCAGCTTCCTCCGATTGGCCGAAAGGCGGTGAGACCCACTCGACAGCTCAATGCACAGGCATTCATGGCTCCTGCTCAGGGTCATCCTCAGAAAGCCTTGTCTCTGTCCTCAGAGGTGCTTGGGGTTACCCTGCATCTTCCATTCCAGGCCTCTAGTGATCGACTGACTCTTGCAAGCAAGCGTCCCCCGACCGCTGTGTCCAAGCCGTGCCTCAAAGCCCATGTAGGAGCATCGAGCAGCCAAAGAGTCGTCGAGATGAGACGGAGAAAGGACAGCGCCTTCTCGACATCCGCTTGAACATGACGGGTCCAAACGGAGTCGCCTCCAAAACCAGGAAGCGCAAGGTGCGGAGTGTGCCATGCCGACGGCCTGTCTCGAGCAATGCCCAAGGAGCTTCTCGAAGCCTGCTCCTTACTGCGGAGTCTGCTGTCTGCGGCTCGATGCCTTATCCCCCACCCCTTGGCCACATGCTGCTCGCTGGGATCGCGCGCAGCATCACAGGCGATCGCAAGCGCGCACAGCGCCACATGCATTCCTTCCTGCAAGGCACCGCACAGGAAAAACCTCTTCAGACCGAGACAGCAGCCTTAGCTTTTGTCAGCTCTTGAGGCTCAGCCCTTGCGCAGAGCAGGTCCTCTCGCCGAAGACGGCGCTGCTTGGATTTGACAATACAACATGTTTTGAGCCTCCTCCGGCTGCGAAGCCCGGACATGCCCCAGCATGCAAAACAATCGCATGCAATCGCATGCAAGCCCAGAAATCTCAGGTTTGAGCTCGGGCAATCGCACACGAAGATCAAGTCCGACGGGAAAGCGGCCCATGGTCAGCCACTGCGGTGGGATAGCGCATGGACCCAGAGCGTCTTGCTCAACTCTCGGCTCAATCGGGGGCCTCTTGCATGGTCCCACTTGAAAGCGGCCCGAACTCCTCGCCGGTTTGTCTCACGAGTCCACCCGTGTCCCAAGATAGAGATCGTCCTGGCCGACACTGTCCAGGTACAGCCATTTCAGCCTTGGAGGGCACCATTCGAGGGCAGTGGCTTATTTGTTTGTGCCGCACCGCTTGTTTCCGTGGGAAGTGCCGAAAAGACAACAGGATTCGACGATGGCCTTTTCTGAGATGCATTGGCTGCAGGCTCCTCTAGACATCTCGAGACGGCACCAGCTCAGAGATGCTCAGAGGCTCACACATGGAATCTTAAGCCGTAAACGAGGAGACTGCCGCCGATGCGACTCTCAGACCCACGGCCAACACTTCCCCGATACAGTTGGTACTGCTCAAACAGTTGTCGAATCTGCGATGCTGGCATGCAGAACAAGTGCATGCTGCTGCGCAAAATTCAGCCGAGATGCTCGTGCAGCTTTCGTCCATGATCGTCTGCACGACTTGCTGCTTCTTCGGCAGACCTTGGCCACATCTCTGCGGTGTAACATCATGCAACGAGCTATGTTGAGATGCAGTTGTGCGCAGCAGTCGCACGTACCAATATGTTTCTTCACACCATGTTCCAGCCAAGCCCGCTGCAGACATGGATACTGCGGCGCGGGATGCCGGTACGCCGCAGGCATCTGCACGAAAGCGATGCTTTGCAAGACTTTTGCCCCTCCCGTATCCTCCCGTGGCATGTCGGCAGGGGCACGACTGGAGCAGATATCTTCCGTGTTGCGAGGCAATGGCCCTGCTGCCCTCATGTCAGGTTCGTCGGGTTCCCATGTCTTTAAAGCTTGGTGTGCAAGACCTCAGACTCCCAGCTTTGGTGGTTGTCGTCGTTGCACCACCGCCACAGTCGCCGTTGGCCGTGGTCGGCGTCGTCGTCGCGATTTCTGCTGCCACTCATGGTACTTGCGCCTATGGCTTGGCTTCCAAAATAGTTTAAAGCAACATCCCGGCAGCAACTCAGGGGTGTCGGAATGGCAATCCGAGGCTGGGCTGAGGACGAACATAGGTTTGGAGATACGAGTCTGGTGACAGAGATTTCTATGCCTATATCGCATCTGCACTTGAACGTTCCTTTGAGATTAACTCGTTTGCCTTGGAAAGGTTGTCCTGCAATCTAGAGCATGGTCACGAACCCAAAAAGGATTTGGGAGCCCGCATGCAAGTCTACCCGTTCCCTTCCAATCCGAATGGAGCGCGAGCGGATTCCGGAGCGGCTCCAGGTGCGCTTTGTGGGCAAAGGAGTCGAAAATGCCAAGCAGCTTCCCTTTTTTATTGGGGGAGCCCCTTCCACGTAGTGTGATATTTCTGCCACACATCCTATAAGCGGGTGGTGCAGGGAGGAAAGGGCATAGGGACGCACAGTGTCCAGAGTGTTGCGATCTTCGAGTCGGTCTTCTGACTCGTTGCCTTCGGCTCTCTCCGACAACTGACTGAGAATTTGTCCTTCAGCCTATGATATGCAGGAGACACCCACCCTCAGCTCTGCGGCAGCCTTGGGTTACGTTGCATTCCCCGGCGGCTCTCCGATTAGGCTGTAAGGGCATTGCATTATTTTGCTGTGTGCATACTCCACTCCTGTGGGTCTGCTATGGTCTGCCACGATGCCTCAGGCCCGCCGCTGCCCCCTGAACCGTTTCTTTGTATGACTGTCAGGAAGCGGCCGTGGGGTCAACAATGCCAGATAGTTGAACTCGGGGAGGGTGTGAAGGGTTTTGTCGGTCAAGCTTTGCTGGTTCAGCTTGCCCGCTGGCCAACTTGGCTTGAATCTCTGTAACTGGGTGTTGAGCCTGGAGGTTCAGACTGGGAAAGCCTGTCCACATTCATTATCCTGGGCCGAAAGATGCCTGGAGCTCTGCGACAAGACTCGAATGCAGAGTGTTAAAGATGTTAAAGATGGTCTCCGCTCCGCTTTCGTTTTCTCTGGCAACTCGGACACTGTTTACCTTCACATCTCCTATAGTTTCGAACAACCACGGAAGAAGGATATCTGAAACATGATCTTAGATGTTGTTGGATCCTCCGGCTCCTCTCAAGCCATTCCTTCACTCGAATACTAGTTGCCGTGACCCCACCTCAAAAACAAATTGGTATCCTGCTCGAACTTGAAACTTCAGAAGTGCGCAATGACATGACTCTATCCAGCTCTCCTGGAAAACGCAGTATGACACCATCAACGAACCACACAGTTTGAGTTTGGGCAGACTCGACTGCCTGACATGCCAAAGAACGTAGGACTGGAAATCAAGGTTGCGAAAGCAAGGGCGGTCGTGCCTGAAGACGCGCCCCAGGCAATCGTCTTTATCTTATGCGTGCCGAAACCCACAAGCTTGTTTCACTGATCTACTCTAAGTCGGGCAGGTCCATCTTCGGCTCCTGACTGTGGTCTTTGCTGATGGGTTGGTGGCTATATTCTGCAGTTTGGCCACTGAATCTCAGGACGTGTGTCGCCTTGCTGTTTAATCTTAATGGGGCTGGAGCTGAACTACCTGCTTGACGACACGACGATGCACCATGTGACTACCCATGAATCCGCCTGATCCCGTTGCGGCCGTCCAGTACACCCCCAATTGCAGAGAGCATCCACATGCACTGCCACTCACTGCCACATGCACGGGAGTCAGCGGCAGAAGCCGCTTTTTCGCAAGCTCCGATTGTTTTTGCACAGCGTCCTCTCTTACGTGTGGAGCCATACTGGGCCTCTCAGGCGGCAGCCTAAGATACAGTCCGGCTCATAGCCCCTGTGCTTGGTGTCGACGCCCATGTCCGCCTCGCTCCTCTGCATCGCTGTGTAAACTCAGCATTTGCGCTGCACTTTTGAGCCTATCGGTGGTCCTCTCTGACGCAAAGGCAATTGCCTGGCTTTGGCTGCGCTCATCGTGACACTGTGAATTTGCCAGGGACTCACTAGTCGGTATCAAAGCCCCGAACGTCGGGCCGAGACTTTTTTCTACCCAGGGGAACAGTCACCAGGGCCTGCTACGGCGTGACGCTTTTCAGGTGGGTTGGCAAGGGATATGCCGCGCACATAGAAAATACTGCAGAGCGGGAAAAATTGTGGCACCAGTCGAGAACAGAACCGAACATCGGGCCGTCAGGGCGCGGAAGATTCAGTCGAATGTTGCCCTTACGGCATGCTGCATTGCGAGTGCTAGGACAGCAAGGACGTGACACAGTGACACGTTGGCTGAGCCTGAACATCAAAACAAATAGCCTTATAGTCGAGGAGAGTGTCAGCGCCAAACTCGAAAAGCTAGATCTTTCAGCGAATTTCTCTCATTCTCTGGACTTCTTTGGCAATGAATGGCGGCTTTGCGGCTTGGATGAAAAGTCGAAGTAGTGCCAGCCAGCAGGGTTCCGAAGACTGTCTGCCCAACCTCAGGTGAAGTTATTGAAGAATGCTCCACACCTCTTTCGATTTCAATAATCTGTGATCTCCGACACATTGCTGACTTGCCTTTGCCGAAGCTCCTTCTCACAGCCACAATGCGCGGTGAGGACTTTGTCTTGAATCCAAGTTGATTCAGCCAGCCTGCCTTTGGCTCCAACACTCCCCTGGCAGAGAAGTAAAGTGGAGCAAAACACACCTAGAGACCCGGACATCGGACGGAGCTCCAAAAGATGCGTGATGAAGGAAACACGTCCCGATCTGTCCTGCAGTATCCTCGCACTCCAACCAGCAGCCGCAGGACTCACAAGTCTGCCCTGACAGACAGACTGAAAGTTCTCGTCCAGAGCCCTTGCTGCAGCCCGAAGCATGCATCAGTTGACTTTTCTTTTTTGCTACCGGGAGCGCGAACACGCATAGAAAGATCTACCTTCCCAAGCACTCAGACCGAGAATATCCGAGCATCCTGTCTCAGGCAAAGCAGCAAAGCCGTGTAAGCGTCTGCCACGAACCCATGAATAGCTCCCTGAGATACCAATTCCATCTCGTTACGAGCTGCTTACAAGCTTACCTCAAACCGTGGCAGTTCTTCTCCCTGTAGCATACGCTGCGGCTTCAAAGCCGTCTGCATGTGCTGCGCAGGAACCGTCAGGCAAAACCCACTGAACGGAGCACTCTCCCAGCAAATGCCTTGAGCGGAGCACTTCCTTCCTCGTTAAAGCCAGAGTTCGATTGCATCGGCAGCCAAATCATGAAGGTGCATCAAGTCCTTGGCGCTCAGGGCTATGTATGTTCACGTGCACGTGAACTAAGGAGAAAATGCTTGTGCCTTCACGACTAGGTCTTAGTAACGTCTTACTACTACGTACACAGAGAGACAGACCTCCAAAAGAAGGCAAGCCTCTGTGCTGACTTTAGGGTTTTTGCAACATCTCTCCAGCCGTCTGTCCAGCCGCCGGCTGGATGATAAAACTCCTCACATCCTGCTTTCCGAAACCAGACATGTCGCATCTATGCCTCAACAATGTACAATCTGCCGCACTCGAAGGCATCAGAATTCGAGGCCCCGCGGCCTTCCAGCTCCGATGTGCCACCCACTTCATCCAACGACATTCCGGCAGTAGGCGGCCGGTGGTTCAGTGCCTCTGCACTTCGCACGCAAAGACAGCTGCGCAGGTTGCCGAGCTTCGCTCGCAGAAGCACTGCGCAACAGAGCAGAAGGATTAAGGTGATGAAAGGAGTTATCTAGAACCTGGAACGGGCGGAACTGGCATAGAAAAACGGATGCGGACATGGGAATCACTGCTCCTGCCCTGTCTCGACGCATCGGAATAATTTCATATGCGTTGGAGCACAACTGCTTCAGCAGGAGCAATTCTCGAGTGCCGCTACAGCCGTTGAGTCGCAGACGAAGAGTTCAGGTAAAAGTAAACAGCACAGGAAAAGAATGACAGGTCCGGCCCACGGACAAATCACCCGGCAATGCACTGCTGTGGTACACGATGGTGCATTCACGTAGAATCCGGCATGCCACCCCGCCAGACATGACAGCAGACGCATCCCAAGACCGAGCTGCTGCAGGGTTGGCGTGAACTTACGTCCAAGCAACATGAATGGCACGTGATGCCGACTGAATCAGCTTGTCGTCCTCCTGCCGCATCCCAATGAACTTGGACCATGCCGCCACTGACACGCACATGCCAGAGCTCAAATCTCAAGCTTGTCTGAGATCCCGCGCTGAACTCATAGTGAAATGGGTGGCACCCGTGAGCAAGGCCAAATTCTCTGAGTAAACGGAGTTTTGCCTTAGTGCCATGTGAATGCCAAGTGCTGTCTGCCACGCCCAAACATGCGCAATGTCTGGTCGAGCCGCTTTCCCAAAATTTCCACTAGAATCGTAGAAGGCGGGATCCACAGCCTGACAAGACCCCACAACTAGCTGGCTGCTCAAACCTAACCAAAACTTAGATGTCCATTACGCCTAAGCTAGAAACACGGGCTACAGTGGCACACGATCCACAGCGGTGAATCTGGCAGAAGAGGGTACACAGCTTTGTTTGTGGTTGATACGGATACGAGTTTCTAACAACTATCTGCATACCAATTCGCGATGACGGGGAACTCGTTTCAATGGTGTCTTAACCTGTCACAACACATCATCCACTCCTGCACTGCACTTCACTTCACACGCCCCCATTGCTATACACTCCTGCTCTGCACACTGTCGCATGGCACACCGTGCTACACACCATGCGGAGCTCCATGATTTGACGGTCTCTGTCATTTAAATCTTATGGCAATGAAGATCTGAAGTCACACGCGCCCTCGGACTGCAAAGTTCACAAGCACGAGTTTAGAACACCAAGGTGCACAAGATCGCATTTGGTGTCTATCCTTCTTGAGCTGCACACGAAGGCTGTGCATCCAGCTCCTAAAGCTGTCGAAAGGAGCCTTTGAATGCGCGGTCAAAACCTCAGCAAAACTCAGCTCGGTACCCAATGGACTTGACTGGGCCCTATTTAATCCTGGATGGTTCAACAACCACGGCAGCCTTTGACTCGTGCTTGGTCATCAGGAGATGTTTCAAGAAGAACACAGGAACGTGTTGAGGAATGTCGCCCAACTCAATCCACTCCACCATAGCATTGGCTTTTGAGGCCGACGTCGATCTAGTCAGTCGAGGGCTTCGAAAGCTTCGCCAATCGAGCAAGGTTGCTCTTGAAACGCTGAGCCGGGCCGTTCTCCTGGCCGTGATTGCAGACTCAGGTGGCCGCTATGTCGGGCCTCGTGCTTCCCACCAGCCATTGCAAACTGCCGGCGCAGCTCCCCTCATCTCTTCACTCGAGAGAGGAATGGTCTCGGTAGGCCTGTTTGGCTTGAGCTTCCTGGTCTCGCCGATGAAGGCCTTCTGCATCACCTGGATGTGGAACTCCCCTTCGACCTTTTTGAAGCTCACTGTCTTGCCCTTCAAAACGAAGTCGTCGTCGTCGACGAGGTTCTTCTGGCCAAATGTGAACATGAAAAGTACCTCGTCGAAGTGGCAATCTTCCCGGAAGGCAACCAGAAAGTCGTCCACGTGGAACAGCAAAATGATCAGCAACTCCTTGTTGCTGTCGAGCGTGTAGTAGACCGTGTGGTGCAAGCGGCGTCGGCGAAAATTCACTTTGTGACTCATACAAGTTGTCGGCGCGTTGCACAGGCGGTGCAACTTGCCGGTTATTTGGTACAACGCACAGGGCAAGGTGAACACCAAAGATTAAATGCCATCACGAGCCGGTCGCATGAAGAGCTGAAGATCCTTTTGTTGCTGCTGCCCTTGAAGACAAGCAGCTGCCACATCACTCTTGAAGAGCTTTGCTTGCTCTCCTGGACCGTGGCACGGCTCATCGCCCGCAGCTTCTTGCTGGTCACGGTCAACACTTGCATGAGGGATTCTTCGTCATTGTCGCCGCCGTCGCCGTCGGGAACACGCTCCTCATCATCTTCGTCCTTGTCCTGGTGGCCCCTCTGGCTGGCCTTCGCTATCGTCCTGAAGGGCCAAGTGGTACTCTTGGCCGTCCTCGCTGTCGCGGTTCTCAGTGGCCTAAACGCATTGGCCCCGTTGTCTCCCAGCTCTGGCGCCGAACTATGATCAAGGCCCGGGACCAGAGGATGGAAAGCGTGATGGCCCAAGCGCTGCAACACATGATGGCAATGCAGCAGCAAGCTGAGGATGGAAGTCCGTCTCCTCCGGACAGCGACATGGGCTTTCGGGCGGTCGGCGACGAGGCTCTGTGATTCCTCCTTTGCAGCAACAGCTGAAACCCGGGCAACGCCTGCTGATAACGCAGGCCTGGCGAAAGGGCAAGCGAGACCGGGACGTTGTGAAAGTAAGGCCCCAGTAAGGCCCCATAAAGTTTGGGACACTCTGGAAGTGACTGTGGCCGCGGACTTGGACCAGGCGCTGGCTGCGCCGTTTGTGGCATGGGCGCCTGATCGGCCCTTGCCCCTGCGACGTGGTCTTGGGGATGAAGTGCTGAGGGCCGCCAAAGAAAGAGCCATGCAGTGGCGATGTCTGGAGCCCTACTTTCTTGCGCCGCGCTCTGTGGGCCCGTCTCGGTTCCAACCTCCGGCCAACCTCGAGACCCGCCGCTGAAAAGAAAAGTTTGGGTGCCGAAGCAGTTGCGATGGCAAAAGCGCTGGCACACCGGCGGTCTGACTTTTTCGCGGCACCGACCCGCGCAACACCTTGGAGGGCCGCGAGCGGTGCGTGGAAAAAAACTGATCACACCCCCGAAGTCTCTTCCAGGGAGCAGCCCAAGCGACGGCACCTCGACAACACACAAACTACAGTGTCCCCGACGGTCATGGGAAGACGGTGTCGCTCCAGGCTGGCCTTCGTCCCATCGTTCCCGAATTTCAAGGAGTCTCCGACTCGGTTGCCAGGAACGGCCGCAGCACCTCCCAGCACAAAATAGCTCTCCAGCCAGGCCCTGCCGCGCACACACACACACACACACACCGGCACACACAGTCCTATTGCACGCCGAGTCAAGAGCACCAACATTTGTTTTGTCCTTCGACATAGCTCCAGCCAGCACCCCGACGGCAAGTTGCCTCGCGCGCCTGCTCCAAGGTGCTCTCCACGAGCTGCATTCTTTGCTGGGACCCGGAAGAGGTAGAAGACGAAGGTGAAGCATGCCCTCGGCCGGTTCCTTTTGGCGTAGTGGCGAGCCCGCCCCCGGTCACCCGCAAGCAGCATCGCCAGCCCAGTGGCCCGGAAGGCCACAATCATGACAAACACCACTCTTGAAGCCGGGGTGTGCACGAGCTCCTGGGCCTCCTCGGCCTTTGCCACTACCACCTGCTTGGCCGAACACTGGTCACGACGAACTTCTTGGAGCCTTGTCTTCGCGTCCCTCATGGTGATCAGGGCTTCTGCTGTGCTTTCGACGCAGCCTTCCAGCTGCTCCATAGGGTCCACTCCTTCATGCTCGGCTTGTTCCAACTCGCCAGCCAACGCCTCAGCCTCGGCCGCAAAAGCTTGGCGCGCCCGAAAGTTCGGAAGAAAGGGCCGCCTGGCAAAGTGGCCTCCCTTGCCGCCTTGTTTCCCAGCCGGCCCGCCCAAGGATCCAGCCAGACAAGAGCGGCCCGACCATGTAATTGCCGCCGAACTCCTCAAAAAAGACGCGCCTGAAGAAGAATCGCCAAAGCCAAGGCCTCTTCCGTCCAAGCCTCCGGCACAAAGGGTCGGGGCATGAGCTCCTTCAAAAGACGAAAGGCCTCTGCGACTCGATGTCCTCGAACCTTTCACGACCCTGAAGGGCCGTCTCCAGCAACTGCTTCCGAAGGGGATCCAAGCCCACCTTCTCACGCAAGAACCAGTGGGGCGCTCGCCATGTCTCCGGGACAGCTCCGTAAAGAACTGCCACCTCAGCTCGCCCTTCTTGTCTAAAGACGTATTGCCGTATTGCCGTTGATTTTTTTTCAGGGCGGCCAGGAGCTTATCCGCCGAGGCCTCCGGCCCAGGCGTCTTGGGGGTTACCTCAAGTACCATTTAAACCCCCCTCTCGACCCCCCACCTCCCAGTCAACACCCCCCACCCCAACCCTCGCTTGGCTCCATGCGGACTGAAATGACGAGTTACAGGAGGAGGAAGTGGCATGATCATTCAAAGGAATCCGCTGGCCTCCGGGTCTTGGGGGTTACCTCAACTACCCTCCACCTAATGCTCCTCCCTGCAACCGAAGTGGTTGGACCCATGTGTTTTTTGCGTCTATTTTCCATCCCCCCGGCCGGCTTCGCTTGATTTTACCTCACGTGTCGGCCTTTGTCTGCTGGACCCCCTGACTGTTTGCTGTTTTTTGGCCCCCCCCCCCCCCCCCCCCGCCGCCCCCCCTCCCTCTCGTGCCTCTCTATAGTCTCTTTATTCATTACTTTCCCACATGTGTGAAATCAAGAGCGTTGGAATGTCTGTACGAAGCACACATGCCCGCGGATTAATTTCTTAGATGGATTTGATATGTAATGCACGTTTACTAAAAAGC